TTTTATGTTAGTTCAAGGGGGGTACCTACTTTTGTCCAGTACTGTAGTTTCTTTTCTCATCGACTGACATTTTCTTTACTAGTTGTGATGGTATGCAATATTTCTAACGGATAACCCTACGTTTTCGCCTTCTTCCGCTATAAATATAATCGTTCATGTGTAGCAAAAACGAGACGTCAACGTTCTAGTAGATAGTCTCATCTGCAGTATCATATTTTACACACGCATTAGACCCAATATTGCTTTTAAATCAGATTTTTCCCTAATCTGTCTCATTTCCTGGAGTTAAACTACTTTTTTTCCTATTTGCACTAGTCGCTCTCGTGCATACATAATACAGACGTTATCGGGTCCATATCTAAACTTAAGGCAAAAAATTACGTGATATTTTATTTTGACAAGATTTATCATATACAAAACCCTTTTAATATAATAACTATCGACGAAGTTTGTTTCAATTTAGAAGTAAATTAATAAAAATAAAAAAGAATAGATCATGTATCGAAAAAAATGATTTTTATCATTTTCTCAATTCACTGTCTGATATCAATTATAGTATCCAAAATGCATATTCAAAATACGTAATAAAATAGTAATCAAGAGGATGACACTGATGTAATTCGATGAGCTTTTGTTTAAAGGTGTAGTACTTGGTGATGGTGTAGTAGTCAACACATCTATTGCACCACATTGTGCAATACTAATATCATCAAAAGCAACAGCTACTCGTGTCGGACGCTTTTGGGTAATTCGAAAATAAATTGATTCTGTCCAAGCACAATCAGGTAAACGTTGTTCAACTAATTGCCATCCAAAACTGTCATCTAATTCATTAGACCAAACAGTTGAAACCGTACAACCATTAGCTGCAATATCTATTTTGGTATTTTTTTCATTTGGTTGAACACCAATCGAATTAACAAAATAAGAAAATCGAATACACATATCTCTATTTGTTTCGATAAAAGGTGTTTTAAAGTATCCGGTAGTTAAATTTGTTGATGTATTTTTAGAACGTGACCAATAAAGAAATTGATTACCACTCCAACCACTTGCTTGTCTTGGACCAAGTTCTCGATCACTAATCGTGTTTGGTGATTGTGTGGTAGTATTGATAAGAGATTGTGGGGAAAAACCTGTGTAATCATTTTGTATGCCACATGAAGAATCTGACGAAGAATCAAAGTCACAAGTGAATTTAAGGCGTGAAGTAGGAGAAAACCAGTTTCGAGTATAATCACAAGAACTAATCGAGATTGAATCAATCGCAAATGAACCGCCTACCTCATACTGTGAGTCCATACGAAATAGGAGAGAGAAGTTCCCCAAGGGTAATGGAGCAAATGCCCAAGACCTGTGCGAAAGAATATCAAAATTATTTTATTTTGAATATTATAGTTTACCATCGATTAGTGGCATATATATAATTAATCGGATTAATAGGCCAAACTTGTTGAACGGACATTTCATTTCCTTCACTTAAAGCTAGTACTGAAAGTTTACTTAGTTGAACAGTAGCTTCAAATGCATAATACTGGAAGTTTAGACAGAATGCAGGATCAGATTGTGTAAAACGAAAGATAGGTGTCTTTACATATCCAACACCACCAAATTGCAACGAATCTGAATTGTTGAGCCAGATATAATGACCTACAAGAATAGTGAATAGTGAAATAAAAGATTAGAACTATTCAAAGGGTGAAGTTATTTTAAGATACCTGTTTTATTTCCAATTGAATAGTCAATCGATGGAGCTGTTGCAGTGTAATTTTGTGCTTCTTCTGCTTCGATTGTCGACCAAGTATAAGAATAGTTGGAAAGTGACTCAAACTCAGGACATACAGTTTTATCAAAATCACAATCGAAAACTGTTGTTGGTGGTGGTCTAGATTGTGAACTAGTGCATATTGAAACCGACAAATCATCGATATCTAATGGACTCGTCATACTGATAAATTTAAATAAAAGATAAAAATGATCGGAAAGAGTATATGGTATTCCTATATTCCCGCCAGTCCAATCTGAGTCAGATAAAGGGAATCTAAAATGATACCCTTGAGTTTGAGATTGTAGATCATCACCTTGAGCATAATTTATATGAAAATTTACTTCACCATTTTTGATGGACCACATCCAAGGCGTGATACATACTGTTTCATTAGGTCCTAATTCTATTGATTGTGTGCGAACAATAGTTAAAGGTTGTGATACTGAAGTGTTTGTATAAGTTATGTAATGACCAGAAAGATTTTGATATGTATGATCAATGTGTGATGATACCTTCTGAACGGTCCAATGAGAATCAAATACGAAATCTTCACACGGCTTTTCAAAATCACAGTAGAATGCTTTTGACGAGAGCGCTGATATCAAGCTAATAACGAGCAATGCAATTATTGTTACCATTTTGAGTAGTTCTGCTGCTTTGAAAAAAATGTTGCATATATATATATATATATATATAACTGATAACACAGTGTGTCAGGTTTGTGTTACATAGGAACGATGCATGGTGCTTTTTTGGTTGATATTTGACTAACTTTATCAGTGACGCACTTGCAACAAAAGTCCTCTTATTGCACTCGAAAAATAGAGTTGTTGACGTAGTAAGTGATGAAATTCATCTTATATGAGATTTAAATATTTGACTGCTTGCCTTATTACTAATTTTTAGGTCAAGAAGAAAATTATTCTTTGATATATAATGGTAACGAATTTTTATTGGTTATGTTAAAATATTTTAAAAAATCTATGCGTAATTTTTTGTAATACAAGCTAGATTTTGAATCATAAATGCAAAAGCATAATTATCTGTACGAAAAGAACAAATCGTGAAGAATTTCAGTCTCGATCAATTCTATTCATGTATGACTTCCATCGCTGGAAATATCGGCCCAAATGAAAAACAAACCGAATGTTTCGTCAAACGAGAAGGAAAATGGATACGAGATCTGAGCAATGTGTTCCTTTCGTACTTTCAGCTAAGAACGAAACTCGGAATAGTAAAACATTGCTCGACAGTCAAAGGAAAGTAGAGAATCTGAGCACATGATACTACAAGGTCGTATTATCAAAGACAAACAGTGATTGTGCATAGTTTTGATTGCTGAATAGTCATTACTAGACCTGCGACAGTTGAAGTTCAAAAGAACTGTAACTATCTGATGGTTCAAATTTAAAAGAACTATATCTGAAGATCAGTTTATGTTCAAATAACTGTCGCAAGCTTACTCAATTATCGATATACATTAATATTCAAGTTTGCCGATGAAAGAATTGAACTAATATAATTTTAAATAGCGCACAACTCGGTTGGAATCTTATTCTAAGCGTATGCTCTTACTCAACACGATGTAAAAAGTTAGGATCAGTATTTAAACAATCAACAATTGTCTGATAAATACTCGCAAATTCCATTTGAAGAGGTGACGGTGTGGGTATGGAAGAAGAAACACCCACACCCTTTTAAAAAACAACAAAAAAACTAAAATAATTCGAGAAACTTATACAAAAAAAGAAATTTAATTTATTTGTCTAAATTATTTACTTATTTATTTATTTATTATTTGTTCGGCCCTCTCTTTTTGTTTCAAAAATCATTATTAATTCACTTTTTTACATCTAAAATCACAACCATACCCACACCCATCTGATGAGATCCTTAAACAAGATTGAAACGTATGTCATGGCAGCTTGGCACCACCCATCACCCACACCGTCGAAACGCGCTTATTGACACAATTCTGGTCGAATTCTTTTCTGTAACATTTTTAAAAATCAACATTGGTGGGGAAAATAACGCACAAATCTGTAAAAGCGAGAATCAGCGCAGAAATTTGAATCTGTACAGCAAATGAAAACAGACCGCACTGTACGAATTCGAAAAGCAATACTAAAAAAACCTTTGCCTGTTTTAATGAACAAACAACAAACATATCCAGAAGAATTATTTATACAAGCGGAGCGACACGAAGCAAATGTATAAAGTTGAAATAGTCATCGAATCCGTATTATTCTCCATTTTCTATTCGTTCGTTGAAGAAAATTGTTGAATTCTGTTTTATAAATCTTCGCTGGCAACACAAAAATCGGAAACGTGCCCATCATCGGGACAAATGAGATGAAATAGGCTGTGAGATAGACATACTTCTGCCACTGATGAATGATACAGACCAGTGTGAACGAGAAGATCAGCCGCATCAGACTGAGAGCAACCAGTCCGAGTGGACTGCCATACAGAGGAATCTGTTTCTTGAATGTGGTGAAATAGCCCTTCTTCCTCTTCTTTGCAGCGAACGCTTGTTTCATTCGTGTTGATTTATGTAGCAGAAACGCCGTTGCCACGAAATTGATCGACACTGGGGCGATCAGATTGATCAGATTCATTATCAGACGATAATAGTCGAGTCACGGCCACGGAAATGTGACCACACACCACGTGTGCTGAATAGTCGCTCGCGGATCGTCGATCAGCTGACGGATAAGTGGCTCCTGCCATGCACAGCCCAAAACAACAACTGTGAGAAGGAGAATGACGTGCTTCGCCCACCAGACACTGTCAGCCTTCTTCAACAAGGCGCCTTTGATGATGTTGACGCTCCGTTCCACTGCGACACACGCCGTCAGCCAGTCAAACAGCATTGGGCACACAGTGATAAAATATTCCAGCCCGACGCAACTCCAGCGAGCAGCTGAACGATTATCGACATTGTAGGCCTGCGTTCCCAAAAGATAGAAGAATCGACCGGCAAATATTGACAGTCCCAATTGGCCAACCAGTGGCAGGCAGAACAGATACACGCCACAGCCAAATGCTTGGACTATTGGCTGTTTGAATGTGATCAATGCCAGAACGTTCGACACAAATCCGAATAAGAGCATCAGAACGATGACTGCTAACACTAGTTTTATCAGAATGGGCTGATCTGTCAGTGACACGTTTTCCAGAATGTCTTGACCGAGCATGGCAGGGTGGGTGTGGGTGTGTGTGGATGTGGGTGTGGGTGTGGGGTGTGGATGGGTGTGGGTGTGTGTGAGTGTGGGTGTGGGGTGTGGGTGTGGATGTGGGTGGCTGGGTGTAGGCGTGTGGGTGTGGGTGGTGTGGATGTGGGTGTGGGGTGTGGTGTGGGTGTGGGTGTGTGGGTGGGTGTGGGTGTGGGTGTGGGCGTGGGTGTGGGTTTGGGTGAGGGTGGGGTGGATGGGGGTATAGGTGTGTGTATGTGCATCTGGATATGTGGGTATGGGTATTGACGATGTGCGTGTGAAAAGGTGTGAGTTTGGGTGTTGATTTGGATGTTGGTGCAAATGAGTAACAAATTTATGCATCTACACCTACAATCATGCGGACACAGGCACCACCACTTACCCCAATCCTTTTTCATATCCTCGTCAAAACGCACAGGCACGTCCACATGCATGCCATCTCTGGCTCACACACACACATGCGACACTCTCACTCATACTCCTACCCACGTGTTCTTGCACAGCGTCATCCAAACTCAGACTCAACCGCACATCCTCACTCATTCTGATGCACACTGCAATACCCTCGGTTACGGTGACACCCACGCAAACACCGAAAACCATCCACGCTCA